ATATAACTTCAAGAGGTCATCTTTATTTGTTCTTTCTCACACATTTTTTTTTTCTTTCTTTCTACAGTTCTGGGAGGCAAGGAAAGAAGACAGCTCAAAGAAGACACTATATTGTTCCTGTCTTTGTTTTTTTTCTTTCTTTTTCTGCCCTACATTCACCTCTTCTTCCAGGGAAAAGTGAAATTACTGCTTTTAAGCAGAAAGAAATACGAGTTCTAGAACGAACAGGATATGTACTGGCAAAACAGAAATTCTTGCTTGTTCCACCCCAAGTTTTCTATTTCTTTGCTAATTTTCTTCAACTCCGTTGAATTTCTGTCTAATGAGGCACAAAGCGAAATAGGATCCGTGATCTTGCGAGATTACTCATCCCTTAAAATTAAAATTAAAATAACTAAACTTATTGCTGCTTATGAGGGGGAAACTGAGCAAAACAATCAATTGAGCAACTCTGGAGATTAAAACATATGTGTGCACATAGACACACACGCACACGCACACACACACACACACGTACACGTACACGCACACAGGAAATTATAAGCCTGTCTGTGCTTATATACAGCAGCTTTTGTTTAACAAGGCAAGGGAATTCTTAGGCTTCATTAATTTAAAGTACATAGCATACTGGAGATTTGTTTCCTTAACAAAAAACCCAGGCTCACTGCCGTGTTGTCAGTTCGCACTCACAGTGGCCAGCTAGGACAACAGCACTGCCCATGGGGGTCCACCCTTTATCTCTTTACAGAAGCAACTTGACCTTTCTCCAAAAGAGCAGTTGTTAAGTTCAAACTATTGACCTCTTGGTTAGGAGCTGACATCTCCAATCACAGTGCTTCCTAAAACGTACTTAACTCTGGAACTTTCCTTGTCCTCTGTGGACTCCATACATCCAAACCATATGGATAGATGACTTATTAAAATGAAGATTCTTTGGTCCCACCTCGAATGAGAGATCTTGAAATCTTTTGGGGGTGGTTCTAGAAAGGAGTCTCCCCACTCTCCCACCCCCCAGTTTCTTAATGATATTTCTTTTTTCTTTATTAAATTTTATTAGTTTTAATGAACATTTACAGAGATTTTGGGTTTTCATTCATTCATTGTTGCACTGTCTCAATGATATTTCTGTACCTTGAAGTACGAGAAGTACTGTGCCGGAAATTTTTAAAACACAACCTCATTGCTGTAGAGTCAAAACCAATTCATAGCTCACGCTCCGGTGGCTTTTCAGAGGCTGCAGATTCTATGGTAGGAATCTGTTCATCTTTCTCCCAAAGAGCAGCTGTTGGATTCAATGGCAGTGCAACTCTCTACCAACCAGGGCACCAGAGTTCCTAGTAGCTTCAGAGTACTACAACTTTCGAGGGTTCTAGTGAGACCTCTGTGTTATGTTGCTGTTGTTACGTGCTGTCAAGTATGACTCATAGTGACTCTATGAACAGCAGATCTGAACCCTGTCCTATCCTGTGCCATTCTCATCATCTCCGACACACTCAAGTCCATTGATGCAGTTACTGTGTCAATCCACCTGGCGGGGGGCTTTCCTCTCTTTCGTCATCCCTCCATCTTCCCAAGCATGATGGCCCCCTCCAAGGAAAAGCCCCTCCTAGCAACATGCCCAAGAAGGTGAGACAAAGCTTTAACATATTTGCCACCAAGAAGCACGCTGGCTGAATCCTCTCCAAGACATATTTGTGTTTGTTGGCAGTCCATGGGATATCCAAAACTCTTCCCCAACATCACAGCTCAGAGGCATCAATTTTTTCTGTCATCTTTATACACCGTTCAGCTCTCAGATGCACAGAAAGTGACTGAAAAGACCGAAACCTGAGTCAGGCATGTCTTAGTTCTCAAACTGAAATCCTTGCTCTTCAATAATTTGAAGAAGTCCCTGACTATCGACTCTCCCAGTATATTATGCCTCCTGATCTGACAGTTAGCATTAAGTGTATTGATTGTGGATCCACGTAAGATGAAGTTTTAATCTTTGTTCCATCTGTTGTGATGTTGCCTATCAGTCCAGGGGTGAGGATTTTTATTTTCTTGACATTGAGATATAATCCACAGTGAAGTCTATGCTATAGTGTTATATATTTTTATATCCCTACAATAGGATAAATGTATTGTTAATTTTATGAACTTTATTTGGTCAGTAAAAAGCAATTAGTACTCTTTGACATTCTGAGAGAAAAGCCGCTACAAACATAGCTACTTCTATACGGAGCAGAAGTCCTTCAGATTAAAAAATGTTCTCGTCACATATGGCACATATTAAAGAGCAGGGCAAGTAAATTCTATGATTACAAACTTTTGTGTTTCTAACAAATCAAATCATAATAGTTTGCCATAATGGGTACACTGCAAGAACTACCTTATGCTAATTAAGATCCAACTACAATTAACTACCAACTAGTAACATTTTATGAAAATTCATTCCAATTGTGAGCTTGATTCCATGTGAACCATCCAACCTCTTCATAAAGGGGATATTATTTCCAGTTGAAAGCATGTCATTCTACCAGAATCTGCCACAGAAAGCCCTAGCATTTTAAAACCAGAAGAGCCTCAAAATTTATGAACTCCAACCCTTCTCAAGGAGGCAATAAAGGATAGAAACTGAAAGGAAGTTCAGGTGTCCTGACTGCCCAGTCTTGCTAATATAGGAATACAAGGACCTCTCTCTAGGTAAATTCAATTGACCAGTTCTTCCTGGAGCATCCATTGTTCTCAAAGTTTCTGAAGTAGTTGGAAGCAACCATTCTTCCTATAAAATACACATATGTAATAGAAAAAGCTCACATAAGACATGAGACTTGAAGTAAATGTCTTTTGAGGGAAATGTTGCAAAAATGCCCACACAGATGCCTTATTTCCCATTCATTCTCCTCGTCAATTCAGACAATTTGATTGAAACATCAGAAAAGATCGGTGATGATCCAGCTTCTCTATCAAAATCTGACAGGGCTAACAGAAGATAGAGAACTTGACCCAGACCAGTCATGGATAAGTGCTTGAAACTTAGCTAGATAGACTCAGTGTGGCTGAAAATAAAGGTTGGTGCTCTCCAATCAGATGATTTACTCCTATAAAGTAATTTATTCATTTGGTTTGTTGTTTTTGTTTCATTTAACAGATTCTAAGACCTACAGCAAGTAAGAAGCTATGGCACTCCTTGAGTGCACTATGATAAAGAGAGAAATCAAAATGAAACTCGTTGTTGCTCTTGTTAAATGTGTTTCAATCTGAGTCAGAGAAGGTGCATCAGAAAAGCAGCATTTGAGCTGAGACTTAAAGCAACAGCCAGAAATGTACCTAATGGCATCATGAAGACAGACTAGCTGGTTCCAAGTAGGATGACTAGCATATGCAGAGGTTTGAAAAGGTGAGGCATAACTAGGTAAGCAGTTGGAGAAAGGAATCCAGCAAAGAATGACAATATCACAGTTTGTTCATCCTACAGATTCTTTTCTTGCACCATGTAGGCAAAGCCAAATGATTTTTCAAAATAACCTACCCTCTCTGGGCAAGAGACTCTCATGAGATTACAGACTGTTCCTGGAGAACCTGCCGTTGAGAGCTGGCTTCAAACTCCAAGAGAGAAGTCTATTACTCGACTTTCTGTCTTTACAGGCGTGGCCTTGTTCCCAAGCTCTCCAAACCCAGCATTTCCAACCAAGACCTCTAGACTTTCCAGAATTGAACATGGGGTCTTGAACAGAGAGAAACGCTTTAACAATGAAACTGGCCAGAGAGCATCACGTGGCCGCTGGATGTCGTTGCTGGGTGCCGAGGAGTTGGTTCCGACCCACAGCAGTTCCTGTCCCATCCTGCTGGATTTCAATGTTGTCCACTCCAACAACCCATCTCCTTGAAGGTCTTCCCTCTTCATCTGCTGACATCTCACTTTGGTTACCATAAAATGTCATTTCCTAGGGAGCTCTGGTGGCCTAGTGGCAGGAAGCAGCACTGCAATCCCAGAGGAGTACGGTTCGAACCCACCAGATGCTCTGCTGGGGAAGGAGGGACAATCTCCTCCTGTACCAGTCAGATCTGATTTGACAATACACACAGAAAAATAATAAAATAATTTTTTTAAAAATGTAATTTCCTTTCCAATTCCCTTTGTATACAACAGTTTCTTGTGCGTTGATAGAAAGAGGGATGATTAGGCATGGATTCCAGTCACGTTCCACTCCTTACAAGCTTCATGACTTTGGGGTCACCTGATAAGCTCTCGTGACATCATTTTCCTCCTTGCAAGGGTCCTGCTAGTTGCTTGGGTGGCTTAGACACTAAGTGAACCAGAGCGCCTGTCACCCTCAAAACCCCACAGTGACAGCTGTAGATGTCACGGATGCTTCATTCAATGAAACTTTACTGAGGATCTTCCACGGAATAATCCAAAGGAATACAAACATAAATGGGCTGGATTTGGCTCTCGCAATTGTAATCCAGACAGATAACAGGACAGATGTGGATAATCCTACCATAAGGTGGAGAGGATACAGCTATAATGGGGGATATCTGGGGGCGCTGACAGCAAGGAGGTTGTCTGTGTGGAGGAGGCTGAGGGGAGAAGCGAAGGGAAGGGGTGGAAGTGGAGGACGAGAGAAAGTAAGGGCACTGTCATTCCTTCTGACAGGGGGTCGCGTTGGTCTGTCCTTGTCACAGACGACCTAAGAGAGGTTTGAGTGGCTGGCACAACTCATCCAACTTCACCCCCTCACTGAAGGCATTCCTGTTCACAGCCCCACATCTGACTTCCTTGTCTAGCACCTTATGCATATGTAGAGACTAAGTCGGGCTGGGGGGAAAACCATCATAATCACTGGCCACTGCCCCCGTCCAAACGGAGCAGAGTCTCTGTAAGGAGTGGGGGCGGGCCTTCCAGGGGTGGGATCACAGGGCAGGCGTCAAGGGGCGGGGAATGAGGTGTGCGAGGGCCCCCGGGGCATTGGGGTGCCCTTGCAGCTGCAGGAGCAGAGCAGGGGCCAGTGGTCATGGGGCTGCTGCTGGCACTGCTAGGGCTGCTTCTGGCGCAGCTGCCCAGGGCGGTGCGCAGTGACCACTGCCCTGAGCCCTGCAGCTGCCCGCCTGGGGGGCCCCTGCGCTGCCCGGGTCCGCTGGCTGGCCTCTCCCTACTGTGAGTACCGATGACCCCACCCCCGCATTCCTCTGGACCCTCCTCCTCCTCCTCCGTCCTGTTGTCCCTCCCATGCTCTGGAAACTTGGAGACAGATGCTTCCCCGTCTCGTCTAAAGCCACTTCTTAGGGCAAGGAGACCGGGTTGAGTCGCCCCTACCCTCGTCCGTGCATACCACCCTGTTCTGACATCCCAGGACCCGCTCCTTCTCCCCCATCCCGCTGGGACTGATGCAGGGGCCATGGAACTTCCCAGACGTCCCAGGAGACAACCTTCCTCTTTTCTTTTTCCCATTTTTTTTTTTCACTTTTAATGAAAGTTTACAGAGACTCTGGATTTCCATTCATTCATTGTTGCACTTTTCTCCCTGCCCACCCTTTCCCCCCAATTCGCTCTTCTCTTTGAAAAGTAAAAGAAAAATTCTCCCATTGTTATACAATCCCACCCCCCAAGTCCACTCCACTATGCAGCCTTTGATCTAACTCCTGTCATGACAATAATACCTAATCATATATCCCTTTTAAACAGCTCTCTAACTCATGTTTCAATGCAGTATACATTATTTATCCCTTTTTTCTCAGTATCCCCCCAACCCCTATGTCAGTCCTCTTTTATAACAGTGGCACTATGCAATATTTGTCTTTTTGTGACTGAGCTATTTCACTCAGCATAATGTCCTCCAGGGCCACCATTTTGTATAATAATTCATGGGTTCCTTGTTTTTCAATGCAGCGTAATATTC